CCAAACCAATCAGTGAGTTAAGAAAGAGGCTGGGTCTTGTCCTCAATCAGATGCATTGCTACGATTCAAGAAGGTCGGTTTTTTCTTAGGGGGGTCACACCGGCACTTTTCGTCAGCTTCACTCAATGTAAAACCCTTCCACGAAGCTGTCAAATCGTTTGGGATTGTATGCGTCGTTCTACCACGGTGGCCTCTCTTGGGGAATTACATTTTTGGTCTTAGAATGTTTATCGAAAAGACTGTAAATCGATCATCAACGTCTCGGTATTCAACGATCCATAAACTCTGCAAAAATATATAGGAAGAGGGGAGGAATTTTCTCGAAACTACTATGTGCATTATGAAGTTTTAGGGTACTGTTACGAGGCATGTTTGCCCAGGAGTACTTGCTTTCTCCCATGAGCACCTGATTTGTCTCGGAAAACTCTGTCTTGGAAACAGTTTGAAGAATTTTTTAAGGATTGTAAATCCTACTAGCGAGTGATTATCCAGTGATTTAATCTCTCAAGGAAACACCTGGGCACAAACGATTTAATCATCGTGGGAACTCTGGACAGTTTCACATCCGACCTTCATCCGAATGCACTCTCTGAGAGCAGCAAAATAAAGCTAATTTCGTTGATCCAAATCAAACCACAAAACACATGGCAATCTCCATTCTGTTGTCAGACTGGATCTTCCCCTTCAGTCAGAGTTAAGAGAGTGGGGAGTCAAAGACGCCTACCAGCAAGAAGTTGACATTTTACTCTCTAGACAAACGGGAGTAAGAAAGATTGCGGATGGGACTAGGTTTTTCGTACAAACGTCCAAATAACATAAGAAGAAGACTGCAGTGTCTAAAAAGGTTCCCTCATACACGAAACCATCCAGTCTTGGACAAAATTGCTCTGCATATTCCAGTGTTATCCCAAACAATGAAAAATTATCGTAAGAGTGGGTTGGATTTTCGAGAACAGAAATGGGCCACTCAAAAATTTGAAGAAGCCATGAGTAAGTAAAAACAAAAAAATTCGTCAGTTCAGTATGCTGTGAGCAAGCACTAACCGCTGACTAAAAAGTATCTTCTAGCCGACTTTCCTCAAAATACCAGCAAGTGTGTTTAAACTGTATAAAATTTTATCTTCATTACATTTTCTGACGTGTATGCGCTTCATCTCAAATTTAACATCCGTGAAATTCGAATGCTTTCTTCACAATCTGATCTAGTCATGAACTGTTCTGTGGTCTAGTGTGTGACTACGGTACTCCAAATCATGAGACTGCGAAACAACATTGCGGTCAAAACATCAGGTAAGTGACTGACAAATAAAAAAATACAAGTCTATATTCTCTACTATTTGGGACAATCCTTCTGGTACAGGTCACAGTTTTACAAGAAAGTTCTCGTTTAATTTGTACTGATTTCCCAAAGTTTTCTTTCCTTTCTACTTCCGTTTCATTATCCACAGGGACGTCTCCAAAGGAAATTCTGCAGTCTCCTTTGATAAGCCATCCGACTCCCCCCCCCGGAAAATATGGACACGTGAACATGCAGGCTGTGGTGTGTCGAAACGAATTATCCTGTTGAAAATCGATAACGCCTTTTGAAATACCATCAGTAACTCGGAGAACCCAGTTATTTTGTTCCATTACCTACACTCCATCTGGTGGTACTAAACAACCATAAGTTTACAAAGCATTGCGCTCGGTTACCAAAGATCTACGGCAATGACTTTGGTTATTCGCAAACCCGAGTGGTGTCCTAAGAGATTAAGGTCCTGAAAATTGCGTTGGATGATCCCATTAATCGAGTTCTGTAAGAAATATAAGATTTCCGGGACATATAAGCTACTAATACTTTCGAAATCTTATCAGTTAATAACGCTGATGGCCTCTTTTCATCTTTTTATGGAAGTTTCGTCCTGTAAGTGAAGCCAATCTATGCTAAAAAGTCGAGAAGCACTGTAGAGCTGTTTCATCCTTATTGGGGATCATTAGCATCTCACGAAACTCCGAAGAGTCTCAAACCCGCGACCTCCCGACTAGTATTTTGAACACTTAACCATTCGGCCACGAGTGGCTGATCAGCAGTATGATTAATTTGCACTTAGGCAGGATGTAGCGCCGCTCCTCTTTCGATCACGCGATCCACATCACGCGGTCACAAGTGTTGACTGGCTCCTCGAGCAACGACTCCAAAGGTAGAAGTTTCACTCATCGGGTGAAGTTTATTCTTCAACTGAACTCCTTATATATTGTTGGTAGTGTGAAGAAATTTGAGGGTTTTGTGGAGGTTTCGTCCTGTGAGTAAAGCCAATCTATGCTGAAAGTCGAGAAGCACTGTACAGCTGTTTCATCCTTATTGGGAATCATCAGAAGTGCGCATCTCACGAAACTCCGAAGAGTCTCGAACCCGCGGACTTCCATCTTTTTAAAAAAAACTCATTCACCACAAGGACGCAACAAAGAAAAGGTCGTGGTTAGCGAAGTTATCTTGCTACTGACCAGAAAAGCGAACAGAAGCAACTCCTGCTTGTAAAACCGCCGCATTGTTCCCAAATAAACATGGTTTATTCGACGAGATGATCTAATATGATTGCTTTCTTAAGAAAACAAAATTAAACCGGTATTTAAACTTCTGGAAACTGACGTGAAATAAAATCGTTAGACACCGTGATGAATGTGTTTTCTAGATAAGAACATTACGATGCTGGCGGAACAACAACGATACTGTCACACTTGGGACAATTTATCCTAAAAAATATTACAGAAGATAGGCTTCTTTCGAAAGAGATAACCGGAATTGATTGCACCATTAAAAATTATCAGGGGGCAATAAGAGTTAGATCAGACGAACTAGCCTAAGGGGATCTAGGAAGCACTCATACGAGAGTAAAAAAACTCTGATGACTGAATAGTTTATGAGAATGTGTAAAGTGATACAGCCGTGCACACACAAACACTAGCTTAACTAGTCTCCAGTATTCAATAGCTTCGACGAGTACAACTTGTTCAAATTATCCTGTCCACTCCAAATGCGAAGAAGTTCCTGCAGGCCGCATGGCCACCCTTCTGCGAAAGTGAAACCGGCATAGTGCACCCAACAACTAGCAAAGAAGGATGTGGAGGATCTGTAGTCGATGCAATGACCAAAAACAGCATCTTTCAGGACGAATAGGCTGAAGGAGACAGATTACTTGTCGTACCTGATCATCAGGAAACAAGAGGCAAAGTATTTTCACAAAGGAAACTACTCATAAGTTTGCAGAAAACTCTTCGACAGCCCACGATCGGTTTCGCCCTTCTTGGGGCTCATCAGGTAGGCGCAGTCCCTGAGTTTCCGTCAACTTTGTGTTCCACCTGAACCCAAATTGGAGTTGAGCCTGAGTTGAATCTCTCGTGAAAACCAAATTGATTTGCAAATAAGTGTATTTCTCGAAAACAGAAAATATACTGCGATATCTCAAATATCGTGCCAACAGAATCATGAAGTGGCCTGTGTGCAGCACATTCAACTGCAGATCATCATAAATGAGTCTCTCCTGAAAACTGAATTGATTTGCAAATCATTGTATTTCTTAAAAGGAGTAAAATATTTGTTCTCTCTCTGATGTCACGAGTAAACACACGCCTTCATTGAGTCCTTGCTCACCAAGAAAGGAAACTAACACGGGACAGGCAAGCACTGGCAGACACCGCAGTTTGTCACGTTAGCCCCCTTTTAGCTCGAATTCTGCAAAATCAGGCAATCTTCACATCCCACTCCGTCACGAAGAGACTGGATCTTACCGTGGTGTGACGGTTTGCGCACCTCAGCGATTCATTTAGCTATACTGGAGAGTGTCCCGCGACACTCACAGGGTATCTCATACCAGGTTGGTCAATGGTTAGAGGTCTGACGAACACAGTCTCCTGGCCCTCCAGGTTGGGGGTTGGAACATGTGGCGACTTGTTCCGTAGAAATGGTAATGCATTTGCATTCCCCGCCAAACACCGCTGCCTTGCGGTTAGGCTTTTGAGCCAAAGGCTTTGGTCGAGGACCCTAATCGTCCTCCTGTCTAGGTGTGGGCGCCCTGGCAGCATCCCAGCCCACGTACAACCATGAATTGTACGGCAGTGAAGCATCGGTGTTGAACACTGATGTCATGCTGTCGATGATAATGATGATGATGAAACATCCCACTGATTCAGTGAACGCCACAAATAACACAAATCAAGCCGCCCGCACCGCAGACCTTTGATTCGGTTAAAACAGAAATCTCAACAAACAGCTAATTTGGGATGATGGGAAAAATTGGAAATTTTCTGTCAACCATTCGTGAAGCGGCACTGAGGGAAGAGGTGTGCCTCAGGACGTAGACGATGGAATCATTCCAAAACCTTAAAGATGCTGCGATCGTTCAGCACCTGCTTGACTATTCAACCATTCACTTCTGAGAACTTCCCAATCAGGTGCAGATCAGAGATTTAAATTTCCACACACTGTTTTATTCCGACAGCCATGTTTTGGTGATACAGTTTAAAGCACAAGTGTTGCACCTTGGGCTGGAATCAAGTGTCATCATCTAGTAATGTAGGTAGCAGACCAGCCTTTTTACTTGGATGGAAATTTACTGAGCTCAAAATGGAAGATTAGTGAAAGTCTGTTGTGTTCACAATCCCTCCATCACAGTGACAGCACCAACGGCATTTGAAGGACTGCAGAAATATAACCTGAATAAGTTTTGTACGTATTTGAACACATGTTTGTTTAATTCCCAGCTAAACATCTCATACAGGAAAGGGGGATGCCTCCACAGATAAGGCTCAATTTAGAACTCTGTCATATTACAGCAAAAACGTTTATTTATTCCGGACAGTTAACAGCTGTAGGTGTGCGTTCCGATGCTTATACATACTGAGCAGTCTGTCATACGAAAGAGACGAACTGAAAAGTAAGGTTAAGCATTGTGGCCATGTTAGTAGCATATAATCTAGTAAGGATATAATGCGCTGGATAAGTTGCTAACGCCGTTCGATCACTTTGGTGTGATTAATGAAGCAAGTTGGGGCAAACCATAGATCAAGCGAAGATCGGCGAATTTTCTGGAATATCAGAAATAGAAACAAGTACGTTGTAGACCCCGAAATGTGCTGGGCCTCCACGTGGAACAGTGTGAAGGAGCGATGTCTGTCGAAATTGTACTGTTGTGGATCACAGTCTCCCGAATGCCTTCTTATTAACGTGAACCCCGGTCAGGATAGCCAACTGATAGCCTAATGTGCTTGGCCAAACCAGAAAAAAATCAATTAACGTATGAACCGGTTGATCTATTGATCACTATCGCGTACAGGCGGGTCAAAAAAAGTGATGCTAAGAATACAACTCATCTGTCAAGATCGAGTGAAGAACAACCAATGAAGTCTGTCTCAACGAAAACGGTTATTTCATTGGCTGTTACGTAGTCCCGTTACGTTCGGAGATGGTTCTCCTAATAGATGTAGTTCGGCAATACTTGTCTTCTTCTTGCGTCGTTTTACTTTCTGACGTCGGTTTAGTAACGCAGCTTGTTTCACTGTTAACGGTTTTTCCAAGTGTTTTCCAGAAACTGCAAAATCATTGGAACTTGGAATTCGTTACACAATCTCCTAAGTGCATTTTTGGAAAGATGTCTGCCTATTTCGTTGAGTTACAGAACTCTTTTACACTCGTTAAAATTCGGGGCTTAAGATGTTCCGTCACCGAATAGAATTTGGAGCGGGGTTGCTTCTTGGTCCAACTTGAACATGCTGATTCAAAATGTGAGATGTTAAGGTCTGTATATTTTTAGATGTCAAGATGACCAGCCTATGTACATTTTCGGAACTGAGATATCAGCACATAAATCCAAGTTATTAATCAGTGAGTCAGAGGTTGGCAACTGGATGGACGGTTTAAAAGCCCGGGGAGTTTTGAAGTCATTAGGCGGGACCGAGAATTAATCCTGTGCTCAGTATTTGGATCATAACTGAAAGAAACCTATCGAAGAAGCCAAGAGAAAGCAGTCTGGACATAAAACCCATAACAACAAAAACGAGAACTTGCAACCTAAGGAGCTGTAAATGGAGGAATTCCACAGGGTATATTGATATTCCAGGTGATTTGTATATCCCCAAGTTCTAAAGTGACCCACGATTGGTAAGCCATTATTCCGGAACTTGATTAGGTGAAAGTGGAAATCCTCCGGAAATTGCATTACTGAATAAACAGGTTATTTGAAAAGGCAGAATTTATGTTGCCATTCCAGAACAAAAGTGGTCAGTGTATGAGGAAAAACAGAAAACACAGCTTCCACCAAAACGGACAGTCATTGAAATTTCTCCAAATGGCACTGACTGACTCGGAGCGTACAAGAATTTTCACGGCCTTTGAACTCCAAAGACGGCTGGAATGGACGACATCATGTCGGACCGTAGATCCAAGTGAAAAACTCCGTCCTAAAGTACTGAGACTGGTGGAGTGAGCTTCAAAATTTGCGACAGTTAAAATCAACCAATCAAAATCGACCACTAGGCCATTGAGTTCCGCATTTCTAAACTTACTACCTGAGTCGGTCTACCTTCTTGGAAATCTTGATGGATACATCGCTTTCTCCTTCACTGTCAGCCCCCTCCCCTCTGATGTAGTTGTCTACCGGTATTTTCTGTCTCTGGATCAGAATTTATGACTAAGTTTATGCAAATTAGCTTTGCCATGTTGCTTTTGTCTTTTTTTTGTCCTGTTAAGGAGATGCCACGATTAAAAGAAGCATCCTTTGACGAGTCGGATTTGGGAACAGTGAGTCTCACGTACTACGAATATTCTTACATACGGACATTATGTCAAGAATTAGTATTCAAGTAAGTCAGCTCGTCCGTGTCGGAGCAAAATTGATGGCTTGTAGTGGTAATGACGGCGGAAAGTCTGACGTGGCTTGTCCTATGGCAGTGTTCTTACTGGCGAGGTCTAACCATTAAAAGGTGAGGTGGAGTTATTCCCCATAAATTATTACAACGTGTTCTCCCTACGTTCAAAATGTATTCAGGACAGTTCCCAATGAATAGGGGATAAGAGAAAAAAGAATATGAACTCTCCGAACTCCCATTGGATAAGCCAGGAGATTTCTTGTCATTTGAGTCCTAAATATAATACCACACCTTATCTGAGAAAAGCATTAGCTGGACATAAATCGATCTCAGAATGTGCTCCAAACTTCTCACCGTGAAAGTGGTACACGTGTCCTCCATTTGGGGGGACCAATGGAAGCCAGACTTTGGAAAAGACCGCTTCTGTATGGTTTGTCAGAGTTTGTCCGAATTCTGGCCCAGAATAAAACTTTCTCGAATTAGAGTCCAATTTTGATCTGAACGTTGACAGGGTCTTCCAGTTAGAGGTCAGTTCTTAGTTGAACTATAATCGGCTGAAACCAGAATTGTTGGTAGTCTGAGAAGATTTTGAAAGGTGAATCGGAATTTCATCACGTAAGTGAATCCAATCGATCTCACAAAGCCTCAAACCTACGACCTCCCTGGAGTCTGGTGAGATGTGCATTGCTGATGACTCCCAGTAAGGATGGAACAGCGGTCCAGTACTTCTCGGCTTTGGGCACAGATTGACCTAACACACGCGACGAAACCTCCATTGGAACAGCGTTCTCCGCCAGAATATTCTGATTTCGAGGAACTTACAATGGTCTTTTTTACACAGCTCACCTTCATCGAATGGCCTTCTCCCTCTCTCGTATATTCTGCTTAAGAATTCAGTCCAGCATCCTTCATAAACAGACATCACTGATGTCATACATGTGGACCTCAGCATGCGATCATACTAAATAAAGGAAGCATACAACCCCATTTGTTTAGAATGTGATTATGAGCCTAACAGGCTCGTGTTTTCCGACCTCAACTGCGTACATTGTGCGGCAAAATGGGCTTACTTTTGATGCGCCAACAAGGCCTTGCTGTTAGCAGTTATCGCTCCCCACACGAATGTTCCATATTTTAGCGGAATAAATCATGGAAATGTTGGTAGTGTGAGGAGATTCGGGATTTTTGTGGAGATTTCGCCCTGCAAGTGAAGGCAATCTATGCTGAAAAGCCGAGAAGCACTGTACAACTGTTTCATCCTTATAGGGAATCATCAGCAGTGCAACTCTCACGAAACTACGAAGAGCCTCGAACCCGCAACCTCCTGACTTAACCGTTCGGCCACGAGTCACTGATCAGCAGTGTGCTTAACTCGCACTTAGACAGGGTAAAGCGCCTCTCATTCTTCAAGCACAGGATCCACATCACGCGGTCACAAGTGTTGACTGGCTCCTCGAGCAACGACTTCTCAGATGAAAGTTTCACTTATCGTGTGAAGTTTATTCTTCCACTGAGTTACTTTTAAATTGTTAGCAGTGTGAGAAGATTTGGGTTTTTTCAAAATACTAGCCAGGAGGTCGCGGGTTTGAGACTCTTCGGAGTTTCGTGAGATGCGCACGGCTGATGTTCCCAATAAGGATGAAACAGCTGTACAGTACTTTTGGGCGTCTTAGCACAGAGACTTCACTGACAGGACAAAATTTTTCAGAAAAATATGGAAACGTTTTCTCAGTAACTGCGCGCATCCATCTGTGGATTTTGATGGGTTCAGAATCCGTTTTGACACATCGAATTTCGTCCAATCCAGGCTCATGGAAGGCAACTTGCTGGTTAACAGTTCAAGATGTTGTTCACTTCAGTCGTGTCATTTTGCTGAAGGTACTTTGAAGAAATATCTGGCACTTCGAGAAAAGTAAGTTGGATCACGATTAACAGCAAGGTTTGACGAAAAAGTCGGGCTGTGGTTTATAGCAGCAAAAAAAGTGGTAGTCCCTAAGAAAAGAATGACTTCATAAAGTTAATTGTCAGCTTCATAGCCAATAAAATCTTGCAAGAACATGCCTGTCCATGAATTAGCACAGCCTCATACAAGGAACAACAGAAAATCTTTGACCTGAAAAGCATTTGCGACACTTCAAGGGCCACACTGCTTGAAAACAGCGGTTGCCATCGTTAACAACATGTCCACATGTTAAATTCAAGAGCTGAGCCTACCTAAAACTAAGACCATAATGAAGTTAACAAAGTAAATTGTCGAAGATTTTTCAGCAACCTTGTGAGTAGCTTCCTGTATGCAACTATACTGCGATATCTCCAATATCGTGCCAACTGAAACATGAGGCGGCCTGTGTCCAGCACATTCAGTTGTAGAATACCATAAACGAGAGATTCAGTTGAGTCTCTCGTGAAGACCAAAGTGATTTGCGACTGAGTGTATTTCTCGAAAGTGACGAATGCTTTGTTTGATATTCTCTGGTTCATACGCACTAGCTAGCAGTGGGTAGTCCAAGCCGGATACATGCAAACGGATGGTAGACTTCGGTTTTGAAAACTAATGAAAGGACACCAACGGGATTGACTAAATGTGAGTGGGTGTTCAGTTGGCATATCAGAATGGGGTTCATCAGTAAATACGCGTCGTTTACTTTTTCGAGGACAGCAGCAAACGCACACACAGAAGCAAGTGCCCAATATCGCCGAGATCATTTCATTTCTTACATCCTCTCAAGGGGAAAGCTGATATTCAGAGTCTTTGAGAGATCGATAACAGTTCAACTCATCCGGTTTTACTAATACACCTGCCTGTCACTTGCCTACCTGAGGGCAGCTGAGTCGTGCACCGTTCTACTGAGGCACACCCAGATATACACAAATATACAGATACACACATGCCAATAAAACTTGAAGCTTACATTCATCCCGAATTTGTGTGGTTTTCACCATAGACTATTTGTAAAAACCGGTACAAGCGGTGGGTCTTAGAAATCTCCAACCCAAATCTTTAGAACTTTCTACACAGTTTTCGTAGCCCATTTTTCAGGACTTGGGAGGATTGCTTGGATGGAAAAAAGTATATCACAAAGTACCGCCAACTGTGATTGGAACCATAAGTGGAACAATAAACCAGGCGAAAAACCACTTGTGTGAATGCTTTGCACCGAACCATTCTCTATTCACCCGTCTCTCAGTAGTCCGTGAGCCAATGTTTTCAGATCGCACCAGTCACCGGAGGAAACCGTTTAGGTTGGCTCCAACCATAAGTCTTATGGTTGCAGAATGGCCGATTCCCAAAGTGTGTTTTCTCTCAATAGATGATCTTCCGCTGACTTGGGTTATACCATCTGCGTAGAGGAAGGACCTTTACTTGTTTATGGTAGATTCCTTGGCGGACTCAAATCGCCTCCAATATTGACAGAAAGCGTTAGAATTTCATCCTCTGTTTGTGGTTTGGTGTGTTTGGTGAATGTTTATGATACGCACGATATATTTGACTCAGCTAGGCGGTTTTGACTGCGCCAAGTCCGTCTGTAAGATACTTGAAGAGGTATCGCACAGGAAAGTTTGAGAAAACCATCGAGAGGACGGACGAGTTTTGTATTTTTCAAGCAAATAAGTACTTCTCAGATGCACCATGAGCTATTACGGTGTGAGCACGGATAACTGAAGATTCTGATAGGGTGTGATTTGCTCATTCTTGACTGTCGGGAACGTTATTCCAAGGCATCAGGCTGGCACATTCCCGAGTGACACATGCGGAAACTGAAAAAGCTGTTGATAATCCACCAGCGAGTGAGCCTGCAAAAGTGGGGGACCTATCACGCAAACATACATCAAACCCTTAAACGATCACGTGGTCATCGATCAGTCAGGACAAAGGATACCAGAGCAACCCGTAGAAACGCTCGACCGAACAACTACTCGTGATCGGAGGTCAACCCCGGCTATCAATGCGTATATAAATACACGCCCAAAACCACCGACCCGTCGCTAGGCTTCACAAGGTTCTCTAACAACGCACTTATGATGTCACTTTGATTAATGGTGAAACGTTTGCAATCAGATTCCCCAGTTCAACAAACAAACCAACGACCAGCTACGCTACCTGAGGTACCAACGTTCTCCTCTACAGCATACCAAATTGTTTTACATCTGGTATATGGGTTCATCAATATGGGTTTCATAGTTCCATGAGAATCAATATACCTCCATTCGATGTAGCTAGGGCCGGCGAATTGAGGTGCGCATGCTGATTCCTGGACGAATCCAGAGCTGAATTACAGGTAATCACATATTCTAAATATTTCCTTGGCTCATGTGTCGAAAAGTAATCTTTCTCGGAATTCGTGTTTAAAAACAACAGAAACACATGGCCTACTTCCCGTCAGCCGAAAGCACACCTTCTCCAAACCATGCAGGCCGTTGACCAACTCGAATTTTTTGGCACTAAACATGAAACCGAATCGCAACCTTTATACCAGCGTAGTCATTGTCAGTTAAAATGTCCTTACAAATCGGCAGTCGCTCGTGCCAAAATGATTCTCTGTCAGTGGCTTTTGGAAGGTTTTAGTAATTCTGAGTTGCTACGTGCCCCAGTCTTTGTAAAGACAACCTCAGTTCTTGTCATCACACAGGGCGTACTGCAGTATAGTTGCGATGCCGAATTCCTAGTAAAGTGCAATGCAGTGTAGCGGTTTTGCTCAGACGCTTAGTAACAGACTCCTACAGGAGATTAACTAGTCCATTGCTTCCCCATAAGTTTGTCAAAGCAGGATCTAGTAATGCTTTTAAAGGAATCTTTTAGACGAAGTCCAATGTAATCTTAATTAGGCTACTACAAAATATGCGCCTAGCTTCCACTTTCGAAGCACAGAATAAATGAAACCATGAAAGGGTATCCAAACTACCACCCCCTGTGTAAGTTAGATGCAAATTTTCTAGAGAAGTGGATCTCACTATATGTTGTGTCACATTCGTCTTAATGGATCTCACCAGGCCACTGAGAAACAAAGCACTGATGACTGTTTATCACACATGCAATATGTAGTGATTCTACTGGAGCCGTTTGGTGCGCCCTAGTTGAACAGAGTCGGTGGTGTCTAAGGTATGTTTACGGTGACCATCACATACATATTAAGTCCGTTTCTTTCTGTTTGTCTCCACGGTTCTATGAGAAAAGAAGCAACAAGGCATGGCTTGAAACCCATTGGTAATCAGCTTCCTACGGCCTTCCGTAAAAGAATTTGGGTATCTAGGAAGCAAAATCACGGAATTGTCCGGAAGTCTGTTCCATTGACACGCTCCCATGTTCCAGAGAGTTTGAAATCAGAATCCACATGTTCGGGGTATCAGTGAATCGAGAATCCCATGGACATTACTGACTGGAATATCTTTGAAAATCCTAAGCAGGTTCATGCGAACAATATGGGGGTACAAATCTTTAAGTGGAACACGGTATAACCGCGAAATTGTACCAACCTGCTTGTTTTGTCGTATCAAGATCAATTCGTGCCATTGATTGTCATCCAGTCTGCTGCTTTCATACCTTCCTGGTCGTACGTGCAAGTTCAGCTGAATGATGCCAGCTACACCAGATTCCGGTGACCAAGAGTTCCTGGCTGCGATAATCTGCCTATCCACTCTTCCTTCAGACTGCAGTCTCTCTGTGTCCGGAAGTTGTAACCAAATATGGGGCCAACCATTCAGGATATGGATACTTAACCCTCGATTGTCGCTACCTGTGAAACGAAATGCATAGGGATATTGCAGTCTTCCAAGTCTACTAAACGAATAATTACATCTGATTAGTCAGAATTAACGGAAGTCTTGTCTAGACGTAACATTGTACCCATAAAGATGCTAGAAATCCTTTGATAGAACACGACTTGTTTCGCCCTTCTTGGAACTGATCATGTAGGCACAGTCATGTACTCTTCTTTACCTCGGACCCAAAATGGAGACATTTCGACAAATACTTTTACTTGCATACAATTTTGCAAACGTTTTATCACCAATCGGGGTGACATCATAAGTGCGTTATTGGGGAGCGTAGTGGTGCGTAGCGGTGGGTTAGTGGTTGTGCCCAGCTGAGCGAACAAGCCAACGACCATCTACGCTACCTGAGCTACCGACATTTTCTTCTATAGAAGAACATACAATTTTGGTCTCGATAGGAGACATCCTAATGCAGCTGAATCTCTCCTTCGTAGTGGTCTGCTTCACCTGAGTGTGCTGAACCAAGCCACTGCATTGTGCGGAAGTTTCGGTTGAAGCGGGTCAGTACAAGCCAGAGATTTAGCTGGATTAAGTCGAGTCCGCTAGAGAAACCAAAATTGTGCGTAAATGAAACGACTTAAAATAAGGATTATTCTAAAATTAGGCGCACTCCACGTCTGAAGTTATCAGCTAGTTATCAGAGAGTGCGGGCGGTGCGCATGTACGCCATGAGGTTCTTACTTGACGTACGGTCCAGCGTAACGTCCCAGTCAGTTACCAAACAACTTTTAGTCTGGTGACAAACACGGCTGTCTGAAACACGCGAAACTACTGTAGAAATCACTTTTATCGCGCTGCTTAATCAGCCCTTTCCTAACCACCGCGGATACTTTTCTCGTATACAAGACGATACCTCAAAGTAGAAGAAGAACACTGTAAATTGTCTGTCGCTGGTGGAAGCACAACTTATACGAAGTTGAACAGTTGAGTCGGAGACCTTATTGTCCTTAAAAAAAATCTCTGTTTGGCTCTTAGCTCACCCGAAAACCCCGTGAAAGGTCATCGTGATTAGCCTGGTAGACATCATGTCAGACTTGTAATACGACGAGATCATCATACAAAATTCGACGATGATCGCTAGTTTCGATTGGGCGGACAGTTTTCCGCCCAGTTAGATCACCTTAACAATGAAAAGACAAAACTTTTTATCAGAAAGAGATTCAGCTATTATCTGATTGGTCGATGCCATTTCCTTGATTGTCTGCTTGCTTGCCGCATAACTAGTAATCTGTACAAAATACAGGCCCATGTCCGAGAATTGGCAGTCCGAAGTCTGCTTCGTCACTTTGCGACATCATACCACTGCAAATGAATAACACTTGGTGAGGAGATTAGTGTGGACCAAGATACTAGTTCCCGTAACTTTAGAGCGATTACATGTTAGCAGATGGCTTTCCATTTGTATGATATTGATTTCTCTTTTAGTTTCTGTCATCTCTCTCTCTCACGAATGACATTAAATATGGGATAAAAATGAACTTTTAGCGATAGTGACTTGAGGTCATTGACAGAAATTTCCGGTGGCTTTTTCCGAATTACTAACTGATGCACAATGACTGGGTTCGTTGACTCGGAAAACAGAAAATTTGCAACAGTGGAAGGAGGGAAACCCTTCTCTGCGAAGTCGCTGATTAACAAACATCAACTAAGCGATTACAAGCCACTAAACAAGAAAGCTAACGTCCCACATGCACGTATCTTCGAAAAATCGAACATTCTTCAGCGTCTCCTTGACCTTCCATGGATATTCATTGACTATCACGCGATGGAAAACGGCGAGTTTTGTCAAGGTCACAAACTGACTCAGGTGTATTTGAAAAAGTGCATCTTTTTTACTGTACTAGCAGTTTCATTGTACTACCGGTCACCTGGTTCCAGGTAGTAAGATATTCGCTGGTGGTTGCAGCGGGCTTAACTGGAAAGCTGATGACGTTACAGTGCTTACAACGCCAACTCGACGCAATATTTGGTGCTCAACGAAGTTTCATCCTCCATGATTTTAAAATACTCCATCGCCAGGCGGGTCATTCCCAACGTATTGGTTTGCATTTTGACGACGTATTAACCAACCATGCGGTTTCGGATCTGCATGAACTTATCCTATTTCGAACTTAGATAGTGGACAGGATAGTGGGACCTGCTCAATTCAACTGACTTAGCTAGCGAAACCCACAAATTTTTACTAAGTAGCACACAATGTGACATTGCGACCTGACCCAAACACGGGATAGTGACTGGATGCTGCTTGCTTAGTGGCTGGTGTTTTGTTATCGAGAGAACAAGAGAAGTTCTCTGTTGCAGAAGTGAGATCTAGTCACAACTAGCGGCTTCACTGAAAGAGCTGATAAAGTTAAGTAAAACATTTTCGTGAATCTAAAGCATCATTTTTATGTGTATGTTTAACTTTCTAAGGGTAAAGCAAGATATTCTAGCAACATCGCTACAGCTTATAGGGCTGCAAGGCATTAAGTTTTGCTAATCTGAAACTGGTTGTTTCCTCAAACATCATTGTTGAAAGATGTGCCTAACTTCGCGACTCATTTCTCCTACGACAAAAGAGAAACGAGAAGAACCATTTCGTGTGATTTCGGAGGCGCTTTTCCTATTACACACTACCGGAACTGGATAAAGCTGTTCAGGCGTGGGTGAGTTTGATTGCATTCAAAAATTTATGTGGATTGCTTGCCAGTGTCGTCTTGCCATCATCGCGTCGAACACTATTAGCTGTCAAAGGCTGTCAAGTCCGTTCGTAATAAACAGACTTCATGGTTTTGCCAAAATACACTGCGAATTCTTACTCTCAGCTGCATGTTTTCGTCTCAAGCGTGTCTCAACTACTCGGGCTTCATTCATGCGCAGTATGGTAAGTCTGTGAGAGCCTACTGAATGGTTTCTTGCATATGTTGATGTATACATTTATGTGAATGTTTATGCATTTTTCTATACGTACTATTAGGCGGACCTGAGCACTGAGTGTGGTTTTTCGCTCTACTCTGTAAGGCCTTCGGGTGGATCACTTGGTTGTGTTTAACGTAGATGTCATCCAGTTGAATTTTTCGACTTCCGTTGGTTATCAACACGAATCAGTGGCAGACCGCGGTTCGCTGGCTAAGTGGCCGAATCCATAGTTAGGATCTACCTGAGTACGTCGGTCAGATAGCTTCAACGCTGCTGAGAATCCTTTTGTTGGTCATCGTGTACCTTCTTACGTTGAGCTTGTCTCATTTGTCAAATCAAACTCCCGGCCTGCTTAATCTTGAATTGCAAAGAACATTTATCAAGCAGTAACTTCCATTTGCAGTACCGGTTTTCTGCATTGGCAAACGTGGGTTTCCTCCCGGGATAAAGATTCACTGCTATTCATGTAGCTGATGTGTTGCACTGCGCTATCTTTCCCGCATTTATGGACATTCAAGACCGATTTTAAAGTCAGCTCACGTGGGCCGACATCGGTTTACCAGCCGTAGCGGTTCCCCTTCAACTTGGTAGACTTAATGACTTCAGTTTGTGGAACCAGTGCTATGAATGTGGCTTTTGCTTTTGGGCCGTCATCTTGGTTAAATCTGAACGATAGAGATGGAATTCTTCATCCTTTCCCCGTTTGATGGTAGAATAGGTAAGTTTTCTACGGTTCGCTTCTCCACAAAATGTTCAAGTTTCGAAAGCCCGTCAACAATCGGGAATTACATCTGATTGCAGATTTGATTTTGTCAAGCCTCTGATTAGGTATTTTTTGTGCATTTTCGTGTACCACACTTTGGTCTGTAATGACTGTTTTCGACCTAACAAATCTACAGCCTGGCTTTACAATTCAAAATGAAATACACCCCAAATTCCGCATCATAGCTTGCGTTCAATGGAAGTTCCTAGGTTACACCTCAAAGGCTGGATCCGATAATTTGCTTCAAGAATAACGCAAGCCACTAGTTTTCATGTAAAACCAAGGGACACAAAATACGCAAAAATACCGATCGAGTAAAGTGACGCTTGTCTGCTTCGTGCATGGCGAACTTTACAATTCTGCCAGAGTCAATGTTTCGAGAAGCTCCAGTTTGGGAAAAACGCCATAATTTAATAAGAGATGATACTTACCGACATGAAACAGGCTAGAATTCGGCTGTCTTGTTTGAAACCATAAACGGACCTCCTCTTCTGTACTGGTGATTGGACGGTTGGACAGTCGATTGACAATGTAGCCGTTGCCTGAAAAACAGCTGAGAAGTTCTGCGTCACCTGTCAAATGAGACAAGACACTATGTTTGAGAACTTTTAGGCAATGAGCTTCGTTACCAATATGAAAACATCAGAATTCCGCACTGAGATTCATCATCGGGTGTTCCAAATGTGCATATAAAGATTGGAAAATTCGTTGCGAAACCAAGGAATCAAGCTTACCTCACGAAGTGTTCAAAGTGGTTAAACCAACCAACTAGAGATTAAAATTCCTCGCCTGGGTAATTGACCTGAGATACTAGAGATACTTCATGATAGCTTAAGAACACGGCAGTTAAGCGGAAAGGAAGTCAACAAAAGTGTAAATTGCCGAGGCATTGATCTTATCCACAATAAAAGGAAACTGCTACGGGACCAACTGGACATCAATACTCCGAAAGATAATGTTCCTGAAAAACACGATGGATGCCTGAGTAGGTGTAGAGTGATCCGCAGTATTTAACCTCTCATCAGCTGCTGAAAAGCCGTCTCTTTTCACCCTGCCCGTTAGTTTGTCTCGAAATATTGTCTACCTTTCCAGAAGCATTTTCTCAATTATAAAAGTATGACTACTTGTTTGTGGGGCCACCTCAACCTCGTTCGGTACTAACAGCGACCTTGTGCTCTTCTTCCACTCCGTTAAGTCTTTATCCGCTAACCATAAGAGCAGAAGAGCATCACGCCCCCGAATCCGACTGACCGATTTAGTAGTATCTTGTATATTCTGCGTGGCTCTTAATATAAATGTTTCTACAAGACTTTTACTTTATGGGTCCTCACTGTTTAGCTGAATTATGTCATCTCATATATGTACTCCTCGCCAGTAATAAGCTGCGTGCTTTTGTTGTAAAAATAGTCGCCTAGCCAAACACGTGTGTACGATGCGGTCACATTACATCATAGTTTGGACTGATTTTGTTTGTTACAGCCAAAATCACTGGTCATTCTGAGCCCAAAGCTAAGAGTTCTTGGTTGTATTCTGAACAATCTGTGTCACCGGTGATGACAGTATAGGTTATTGAACATTTTCTTACTACTGATAGTTTCGAAATACACGAGCACTTGCGTATGAGAATTATAAGTTTTCGAACGAGGGCAGTAGTACATTTGACCTTGGAAACTTGGCAACCAAAGATTGGTTACTTTTGAGTTGCTGGACGTAATGCCGCACCCACAAGAATTTTATCTCAACATCAACGTCTTTTGTGGGTTATCACCATCTGGTGCGCCATCCCCAAAAAGTGGGCACATACAAAAAGATAGGTGACTCGGTTTATTTTGTGACCTCACTCAAAACAATTGCTGCGGTGGGCTGCATTAGCAGCTGGCAAGACAAATTAAGCGTAACTGTTTAAACATTCTCATGGTTTGACAATGGACTCAGTGACTGACAATAGTGTTTTCCGGATCTCGTCATCGGGTTAGTACATATTTAATGGATAATATATGGGTAAATAATGAAATACTTATCGAAGATTGGTTGGCGAAATAATAAGAAAGCAGGAAGGCACGAACGATTCGTTGCCCCACGTCGCATTTCATTGGATGATGTGAAGCAAACCAGAGTACCGTTGAGCGACTTGGTCGTCTGATTCGTGTCACATGACTGAGGTAGAATCAGCGTTCTTACGGATCGGTTTTGACAGCACAGGAAGTGGTTTCACGGGCATACGGCTTAGTCAAACAACACCGTTGGATCAATACTGGTGTAACGGTGATATTACTGATGGAGGAAGCATGCGAGTAGCATGTTTTCTTCTTGTAAATTTGCTTTGCGTCTCTTGAAAAGGGAGATCTGTTGCGGAATTTGTAGAGTCGCTTTGTAGCATTTGCTTGAATTTGAGCAGCAGTCAATGAATATCCAGGGAAGTTCAGGAAAACGCGTTTAGGAGAAGATAGATGTTCAATTTTTGTAAACAAGATGCATATGAGAGTTTGCTTCCCTGTCCGATGATCTGTAACTGGTCAGTTAGCGAAGGCCTTCTTCCTTTCACTGGTAGTCTATCCAGCACTCGGTAACTGAGCGGCTCCGGTGGGGACGCACACTGCTGTATTCTGGTTGAGGGACGGAATCTTGTCGTTGACGTTCAGTTGAGCAATCGGTTGGCTGTAAACCAAGGCCGTAGAGTTCCAGCCCGAAAGATGCTTCGTATGGATCGACTGTATGGGGGTAAACTCAGGTAGATCGGCTTCTTACCAACGGTCGTTGTACACTATTTGGTAGAGCGTTCAGGCATATTATTGACTATAAATCTGTTTGGATAACCATAGGCTTGAAGCACGTCAGCAATGTGCTACAGTTCAGATTTCAGTGTATCAGTAGAGCGAATGTATCTCACTCGGTTCGCTAAGGTGTAAAACAGAGACACAGAACTATGGAACTATGTGTATTGTCCCCTCCACGTGGGTTTTATGTAAACAGGTCTCGGAATGAAACTCGTGGAAAGTCTTACTAATTTAACGACCAGGATTTGGAAAGCACTGTCACCTTTGGTTTCAAAAGTGAACTGAATAGAGGAATGTGTTCCATTGAAGTTGGTCACGAGAAGGGTATTGCTACTTTTCAAAGGATGGCTTTTATCCTGTCTAGAGTTGGCCCCTTTTGACTTCTATTCGTAGTCTCCCAAGGTGTACCATTTCATCATGTAAGGTCACTTTGCCAGCACACTGGCTGACTACGGATAAAACCAAGATGCAATGACGTTTAGAAACTTTCCGTATTCTGTATCAGCGATGGGTTCTTGCCGTTGATACAATTCTGTTCAGTTTGCCTACCTACGAATTCTGTAAGCATCCGCATCAATCGACATCCACATAAATAATTGTAACTGACGGTTCTCTGTGAAAAAAACTTGATTAAAAAGAATACTGTAGTAAAATCGAGCCGTCCGGGAACGAATTTCAGATGATGGATGACAAAGACGTAAAAACAAGCAATAACTTTGAACTTCGAAGTACTCTATAATTATCATGATATATTATTACACAGCCTGCTGGTTATCGACCAGCAAATTACGTTGCTGAAGAACGGATAACAGACCAAATAGTGTTTCGAACAGTTTGAAGAGTGTATTTCCTGACCACAGGATGATCCATTTCATTTGTCTTCACGAAAATGGACTGTCGACTAAATGCCTTATCCACTTGGATTTTGCCGAGCTTCGGCTTGGAAGAAATGAGGAAAATATGCCGATTGCGACCACGCTGGATTTTGCGTGTGCTAATGTTCGCACTTTATGCTCATTCGGGAGGTCGCGATCATTGCAATGTGCACGAGAAAACGAGGCAGTCTGTCAAAAATTAGATGATGTGTGAGAATAAACTAAACATATCCTATGGTTTATATCTCCCTGTCACATCTTATCAGCGCTCTCTGACGCGAATACCACTTGATCATCTGAAAAAATTATGTTACCTGAACGCGACGGTCGAGCTTCAGTTCTGCATTAGTCCTGGGAAGTGCACTGTCTAAAGCTCAGTTCCATGAGGTTTACTCACACCAGGAAGGCCAGTGGGAAGCAGCCTGACTAAAAACAGTGAGTCTCCATACTTCCAGAAATCTTTTCATCAGGCCCTTTGAAGGCGAAATTGCATTGTCCTCTGGGAAAGCGGAATGCTTACAGTAAAGTGTCTCCTTCAGGTGAGAGGAATATTTATCATTATCGAAGCAGCGATATGCTTATTCCCTCAATGAAGGACGTTTTAGAAGAAGTGGGCCCCAAAATCCGCTGGTCAGAGGGCACTAGCTTTGGAGAGCAGCGTTAGTAGTCAGACTTTATGTGCACCAAATGCGCCCTCGGGTGAGGCCAACCTCTTGCAGACAAGTCGATCCGGCTAGTGAATTACTAGCTCCAAGAAGGAACTTCCAATAAAATCCCAATAACTATCATCTAGAAGTTCAAATTTTTGAATCAGGGTAAGGAAATAATCCCTCTAACAAGACCTTACATCTTTTTTTAAATGCACTGCTCATAAGGTTGCTGAAAACTCCTGGAGAGATTCAGCTGGGATCCAGGTGAGTCTCCCGAAAAACCAAATCAGTTGGCAAATGGGTGTATGTTCGCTAAGGCCTTACATCCTCTCACTACCTTGTATGCCGGACTTTCGAGTTGGCTGTGGTTTAGAAACTCAACCAAAACCCCTTCATCGGCTTGGGAAATATGCGACTGCCATTCTCCATCGTCTTTCCGTTCATCGATCCACATTCCACTTGATATGATATGTGTTAACTCATTGAAGCACTTTTGCTGAATTTTCAGTCGATGGGTTACCACAGTCAGCTTGCGGCCATATTATAGTCCCCTGACAAAGGAAGAGAGACTTGGAGAGATTAGCTGGGATCCAGGTGAGTCTCCCGAAAAACCAAATCAGTTGGCAAATGGGTGTATGTTCGCTAAGGCCTTACATCCTCTCACTACCTTGTATGCCGGACTTTCGAGTTGGCTGTGGTTTAGAAACTCAACCAAAACCCCTTCATCGGCTTGGGAAATATGCGACTGCCATTCTCCATCGTCTTTCCGTTCATCGATCCACATTCCACTTGATATGATATGTGTTAACTCATTGAAGCACTTTTGCTGAATTTTCAGTCGATGGGTTACCACAGTCAGCTTGCGGCCATATTATAGTCCCCTGACAAAGGAAGAGAGAATGGCTTGCACACAAATGTCGGACTTAATAATCTGACTGCAGTTTGAGATTGGTTGGTAGAGGGATTTGTGCCTCGTGTGCAATTTTCCTTAACCTCATGGCAAGCGGTCTAGAGTAAATTTAAAAGCTCTGTCAAAGTATATTGATTATTTTTGTAGAGTAAACTAAATAGACCGAAATCCAAGGGCCATTCATTATGAAAAGGACAAGGCCTTCGCTGGGGAGTTATTAGGAAATGGCAACTGACCAGTTACAAAGGATTGGACAGGGAAGCAAAACTCCCATATGCATCTTGTTTACAAAAACTGAACATCCATCTTCTCCTAAACGCGTCTCCCTGGATTTCCCTGGATATTCATTGATTGTTGC